TACGGGAACCGTATTGTAGTAAAGCTCCGAAGTAATACATCGGCATACCCCCGTTATTATTTTCAGGCGAGCAAAGGACTTCTCAAGCCACACAACCCATCCATAGGATTCTGATGCGTGCCTCATGACTAGGACCTCTCCCACGTGTGTGCAAACCGATAAGCCAAGAGAGACGTCTTCTTCAGGGGGTGAGTAGGATCGATAAAAGGGGGGACACACATTTTTCAGTTGAAAAATCTGAGCAAAGGATTGTGAGTGTAAATGATCGGGCGTGCATAATATAATCGGTCTTTACGTGGGGGCTTAGGAATTCATCGAGAAGTTTGTGCTCAAAAAAATCTTGTGATCGTCGTCATTTTTCGGTGGGTTTTATATCCATATGCAAGGGTGTCGGTGCAAGCGGTAGGGTGCGCGTAATATATTTGATACTTACGTAGGGGCGTAGGAATCCATCGGGATATCTGTATCAGGAGATTGCCATGTAAATGTCGTTTTTTTCTTTTTATATCCATGCGTGGGGTTGTCTGTGCCCCGTTGCTTCGTCCATGGTGATTAGCCACGTGGACGGGCACGTGGCGCAAGAGTGTTCTTGTGATCATGAGAATAATCATTCGGCGTCACCTGTATGATCCAAATTAGACGTTCTATGCTGGCACCTTCGTCGGGACAGCAGGTCAGATCAGTAGCTTCATTCTATCCGGTGCATGCAATTAATACATCACCCAGACATATAGATACCTCTATCAGACCATCTACCCCATTGGTACAGATGGGTGTATCTTTCTAACTGAGTAGCTTTCATTAGGAAAAAATAATCGTGAAATGAGCCTTTCTACTCGAAGTCAGTGGTATGATTGCGGTTGTAGCAGTGGGTTGGGGGACCGATACATACAGGCCCTTAGTCGTGCATGGATCAAGATGAAAGTGTGCACCGACAGCAACACGAAGAGGTGCAATATACCCCTTGAAATCCTAGGGTAGAAACGCGACATCTATCCCAGAGCTCCATGCATACAATACAAGAAATCGAGAGCAATCGGTGTCATCCATCATAATATTCAATCCATAAGCCGTTTCAGTTGGTCGATTCGTGGATGGATACTATGTCTGGGGGCAATCATGCTCGTTGAATATACTATAAGCAATGCGTCGTGATTATTGCGTCATCAAGACATGAGATCGAGTATGAACGGTGACATCCAACATAGTACCCAATCCTTTCGCCGATCTTGTCGGTCAATTCGTGGATGGATATTATGTCTGGAGGCAACCTTGCTCATCAACAGAAATACATCATACGTATATCTATATAAGCCATGCATCTTGATTATAGCACCAATCCATACAGAGATCGTGATTCCAACACATGAGAGCGAACGGCGCCACTCATCATAGTAACCAATCGACTCGCCGATCCCGTCGATTGAATTGTGGATAAATACTGTGTTTGAGGGGGGGCATTCTCGCCAAAGGAAAAATATGAGCCAAGCAACGTGCAACTGCAACAATACAAGGATCGCGAAACAACCCAAGAGAGCGAACGACACCATCCATTATAGTACCCATTCGTCGATCTTGTTGGTCGATTCGTGGATAGATACTATGCTCGGGGTAACCCCCCTTTGCCAAAATATATCATGTACATATATATATATATATATTGTTACAAATAGGACTGCCCATTAACCATTACGAAGAGAGAGGGAAGAGAGAGGAGAGAGGACAACAAACGAGGGGTTGTGACAAACTGTTTTGTCGGAGTTTCACCGACTCGTCAGGAGGTTGTAGATCTTTCAAGTAGTGTGTGGTGATTATATCATCAGTACGATCGTCAAAGATCAGCATATGAAAAAGATCGGTGCCACCCATCGTAGTATCCAATCCTTTCTTCGATTCTTGATGGATGATTCGTGGATAGATACTATGCCTGGCGGTGTCAAAAAGCATGCATTGTGATTCTTGCCATTCATCCATACAAAGGTCAGAATTCACACTTAAGAGAAAACACAAATCGATTACACATCGAACGTCACCCTTCTTACAAAAGAATGCCTTCTCTTTCTGGCCCAAAAACTAAAGTGTCTCGGCTCTCCTCACCATGCCACTCAACAGACAACATGACGCGCATACACGTATGGAAGAAGATCATGAAAAAACTTGCTGCATCCCTAGTGACAGTTCCACGTAATATGGGAGGTCTGCCACAACAGCCAAAGCAGGGAGGGAAGTGACGATCCCTGAAGCGCTTTTCTGCCGCTAGCCACAAGTACACGACTTCATCAGAGGGAACACCTGCTTTTCAATCATAAGTGCTTCGGGAGTCGGAGCGGTGTAGGCGATGGCACAACTTGCAGGTGGTGTAAGAAGGCGAGGAAAGGGAGGAAAGCAAGCAAGGCAACAAAAGCAAGCAGGACATAGGCAAACATCTCGATAGCTACCCCGATCTTCTCCTCCGCTCCTTCCTTGTCCAACACCATCGATCCCAGCTCCATTAGTCTGCAAATTGCCCAGCGCAACGGAAAGAAGACTAGCATCATTGGCAACTTAATTCCTAGCGTGCAGGTGAGATGAGTGCGAAGAGCGGGGGAACGTGCAGGTTTGCGGCGCATGCGTGGCGTATCGTGATCCACCGCAACGACTAGGATATGCTGGTGGCGAGGGCGAGGAGGCTTATACCCTGTCTTCTTCGTCATCGATCATTCGGTTCAACAATTCTTGATCCACCTCGTAATCTTTGGCGAATGCACCAGTGAAGCACTGTTTTCTCGCCGCTTGCCCGATCTCCTGTCAGCTGGAAACCCTATCGCCGCTCGGTCCGTAACCTTGAATTACGGCCGGGAAGAAACCTTGTACGCAGATCCGATGATGGGAGTCTGAGGGATATTCCGCCTGTTCAAATAGTGTCCCGTCGTCGTCACTTTCCGACAGATATTGCCCATAGGCAAAACAAAACGTTATTGGTGACGTGAGGCGAAAGACTATGCACATCAAAGAAGAAACAACATAAAAAAAAAAAATAGAACCCAAAAAAAGCAAAAATAGCAGCATGCCGAAGCATCGGGAACAGTATCCTCTGATGAGGAGGGTTCATACCCCACGTCTTCTGATTGCCCGTCTAGTAGAGTGAAACGTCACTACTGATGGTCTGTGTCCGTATCGAAAAAAGTGAAAAAAGGGGAGAAAAAAAAAAAAAGAAAAAAGAAAAGAAAGAAGGAAAGAAAAAGAAGAAGAAAAAAGAGGAAAGAAAAGAAAAAGAAAAAAAGGAGAAAAAAAGAAAAAAAAAAAGCAAAAAAAAAATGAGGAAAAGGGAAAAAAAGAAGGAGGGCAGCGACTTTTGATTATCTGCCCAGTTGCACGAAACGTCACTGCTGGAAATCCGTATATGGATACGCCAAGGAAAAAATGAAAAGAAACGAGCGAACGAAAAGGAAAAAAGAAGAAAAAAATCGGGAGGAGGGGAAGAGAGGAAGCTATTCAAGAATCAATCATCCCACGCACGTTTTCGTTATTTGTTTTATTGTGCGCACGAGTTGTGCGGCGTGCGCATAATCGGACTCGGGCTTATTACGAGTTGTAAGTCTTTTTCCTGGCCCATAACTGCCTCGCGTCGCGGACATCCCGGGTTGTAATAAGCTCGAGACAGGATCGTATGGCGATCGGGGTACATCGCTTTGCGGTATACGAAGTGGTTATTGTTCCGCATCAGAGTTTCTCGTCTCTTACCCATTTATGAGTTGCTTCGTCCGACTTTTATCTGTTATTACCTCCTGCCCCTTATTCTTGATGAATCCACTCCCATTCTTTTCAACAGTCCTTGCTCCTCGTCCCTCTGCTATGTATTTGTGTGTGTGTGTGTGTGTGTGTGTGTGTGTGTAGGTGTGCCCCGCCCCTGTCCCACCGGAAGGTGCGCCACAGGTCGGAAGGCTGGATGCTAGGAGGCATTGGGCCCTTCCGGCTCGTAGCCCCCCAGTCTCCACACTCACTCACAGACACCATAGAAAACAGATAAGTACATTCCAAATCTTGTAATCAGGTTAGCTTTCACCATTTCGTCAACCATCCTCCCAGGCTGGTACTTCCGTCTGTTGTGAAAAACCCTATCCACCCCCTTCCAGCATTCCCTCCTTCCGAACCCGTTTGAAACCATGGTTTGTACCAAGTTATTGATCTCCAGAGCGGTTTCTTGCTCATCGGAACAAATGATGAGGGTCAAGACAGTCTCAGCAGTTAGGATTTGTAGCGACTGTGCAATGGAACGATTTGATCTGAATTTCATGAATCTTACGGGGGAGAATCAGAATCCCTTCTTCTTCTTCTCGTGTTTCGAGGTAAAGTATGTGCCATTCATGGAGGACAAGACCGTCAGTGAGAGGTTGAGAAAGTTAGCAGCCCTACTATGCCCATCGATTACGACCTCGGTCGTTTCCTTTACTTCAATGAATTTGTGGGTGTAGATCTTGTGACCTGGGTTCTGGTCGTGTGCATCGTCCTTGAGGAGCTCAGCAATGATCGTGTTGTTTAAAGAACACAGATCGTCTATGTATCTATAGGTGTCTTGGAAACACTCAACCGCGATCCAATCCTGCAATTCGACTAGGCGAGAGATTAGTCCATATTTGTACTTAAAGAAATACACGTGACAGAAGATGGGAGAACAGGCAAGACCCATGGGAATCCCGACGACCTGTTTCCAGACCCTATTTCCCATCTGTACCACTCCGTTGGAAAGGAACCATTCACAGACATCGATGATCCCCTGTTCGTCGAAGTACAGCCTCTCATTATCCCTGTCCTGATCACCATTCACCCAGTAGGGGTGTAGCATATCGTTGGCTGCGACTCCGATCGCAATTGCATCTCCGGCTGTTCCCGCCCTTCTCCATTCCATGGCGCATCGAACGAAGAATCTGATTGCCTCCAACAGGCCGTCTTCCGATCCGTCCGTGGGTATCAACTCGAAACACCTGGTGATATCCCCTGTGAAGACGGAGTAGATGCATTGCGGGAGGTTGGCGACGAATTCCCCGATCGAGGAGATCGGCCACCAGAAGATGGGTTTAAACCCCTACTCGGCATGCACCTCTTCTGCCCTGCTAGTGCAGAGGGCCTGAACATCCGGAGCTAGGCGCTTCAACAGTCTATCACAAATGTCCGCCACCGGGGAGAGTACCGATCCTGCAGAGTTCGTTATCCACCTTAATGATTGCTTGTGCGCCTTGTACACGGTCATGAGGTGTGGGAGCGGTAGTGCCTCGTGCCCTTCGTGAGTAAAGGCTGCCGCTTCTTGTACCAGCCTTGCCGCCACCTGCTCCGGTGAATCTGGGAGCGGTATGAAGTCCGACCCCGAAAGCCTCTGCAATGCTAGTTTCCTGATAAGGTTGATGCACACGAACGTGGGGGTGTGTGGCGCCTTGTCCGTCGGATAGACCAGATATCGACTTGTCAGCCAGTCGATCTCGCTTCTCACTGCCGTGCTGTTAATAGGCTCGCCTGTAATATGCATATGCTTCGTCCGAAAGCTCTTGACGCGCTTCTTCGCATTCTCCCGAGCCAACGTCTTGATTCGCCTCTCCTCCCCCAAGGACAGCTCCTCATCGCRTCTTCGTGTGGTCAGTATCTTATCCAGTGCCACCTTGACTTCGTCCAGTGCAAAMTCCTCATCGAGCGCCCTGAGTGGAATGTGGTTCAGACCCGCATTGAGCATGAGCTGCAGCTGGCCATTATTTGTAATGTCGGTGTCATTGGTGACGACGTGCAAGGTACCTTCCTCTGGGAGCATCTTTATGGTGGCAGCGTTGAGGAACTCGGCATGCCTCCTTGCGCCGCATTGGCAGAACTYAGGTATATATCCTTCCTCCCATTCATCCGTCTTAAATTTCGTGAACACCGCCGCCGGCTTGCAAATCTTGGCTCCCAGGCTTTGTCATACCTCCATGCGATGATCACGTCTTCAAGCCAATCTGCCGATCTTTCCCCCATCACCTGCCTGAGCGCCTCCAATACCATACTCCTCAGAGGAACCGCCTCCATAAGCCTGCTCATGTATCTGACGTGTACAAATTGGTTCTGCTTCCGCTCCTTTCTTCTCCATGCGGATCTTCCTGAGGGGAGCACGATCATGCTGCCTCCTACTTCCGGGTCGAAACTCTCATCCTGCGTAGTGCACGACAACTCATAGACGGGGGGGTTCGTTATCAGATGGGATCGATCCTAGTGTGTATGACGAGGAGGGAACTTCAAGGGAGAAGGGAGAGAGAGAGCGGCTGGAGGATCTTCCTCTGTCAAGTATTGTCTATAGATGCAGATATATATCACGTTCATGGATAGAAGCACAAAACGGAAACTTAGAAACGAGAGGGAAGAGAGAAGAAGAAGAGAAAAAAAGGGGGAGGAAACATAATAAGGAAAGAGGAATTAGAAAAAATCATGGAGTAGTGACGGATGGATGACCCATCAGGGCGTCAATCACGTGGGGGTTTCAAATCTCTGTGCGTGTTCGTCAGGAAGTGTCGATACAGCCCCTCCTTCCTTTTTTGCTTCCGCAAGACGACCCGTTCTTCCGTAATCCGCTATTTCATGTGGATTCCGCCGTGGAGATCGCCGACCCTGCCTGCGAGGCAAGCAATCGTGAGCTGCTCCTGCCCCTAGTGTTTTGCCCTCCTATCACCATGTTGTGTAGCCCCCTATCTCCGAGTTGCTCCTCCGGTGGACGCATGCATCCCAATCGGTCTTGTGATCTCGGCTGGTCTTCGGGAGCCACGTGGTGCGGGGGGTCTCTGGGGGGGTTCATTTGCTGTGCCTCATTCTTCCTCTCCCTGGGCTCAAAGGGAAGCACCCGTTGTCGGGGAGAGACGACTACAGGTGGGTTGTTCCGCTGTCTTTTCTAGGCGTTCCCTTGTTCGTATCGTGCGCCCCTGGTTCTGACCCTCGGATTGCCAGTGATCCTTGTGGGGAGCACTACCCTACAGATGGTTAGAGGGGTATTGCATTTCCATTTCTCCTTGCAAATACCGGATTCAAGGGTGAGGGATGGATCTTTCTCAAGTGCGAGATTACCTCGGTCATGATCTCCCGAATGAACATGAAGGTGAGTTAGGCCTCCACTGCGGGTTTCCATGATACTCGCAAAAAGTGGATGAAGGTAGAGATCCTTACCTTGATGAAGGCGATGTTGGGGAATATGATGTCCGGGTGCGCTAGCAGATACCAAATCGCATGGTCCATCCAAATCGGTCCCGTTCCGCAGTCCTTCTTCCTCTCCGTCGCGCATCTGCATCTAAGGTAAGGTCGTCCGACATTCCAACTCTTCCTGAGACCCTTGAGGTCAATCTCCTGGGCAGTTTTAACCTTCTTTTGCCACATCACCAGACTGGAGTACTCACATTTCATATGGTCGAGGACTGACATTAGGGGAAATGTGAGGAGAGTCGGGTTGAAAGCTTTCTTCCCTGGGGGGCAATACAGGAGTGCGCCAGTCATTGCATTTGCTTTACACGTGGCAACTTCCTCGTTGGTTAGGTTGGTAAGGAAGATGAGGGCTTTTACTGAGAATGGTGCAAGATGGTTGAAGGTATCGAGTTTCCAGAGCGCATGCATGAACCCAGTGCTCATGTGCTCAACCCAGT